AATTTAACTTAAAGTATTGGATGACTAACTAACCATTTTTCAATTCAGAATTTTGGAACAATTTCAATATTAAGGGTTTACATGTTAAATAAGTAAGATAAAATTAATTATATTTAAAAATAAGTATAGAATTATAATTATACAGTTTATTTACTTTGTTTAATTTATCTGTTATCTATTTATTAAGTTTTATCGATCTATAAATAGATATTCTTAAGTTACACATAATTATGAAAATAAAATAAAATGATTTAAATTACAATTAGTTTTAATTAAGCAAACGATTCTTCGCGAGAGGTTTGTTGGACTGGTGTTTGAACTTCACGTACTTCTTGTGCCTGATATACCACTTGAACTGTCCGTTCAATAGGTTGTCTCTCATAGGACTGCTCACTATTGCTATTTATTCCAGTTATGCACTCATCTAACGACTGACCACTTATTATATTTTGTGTACAATAAAGTGGAAAATTCAAGCCTTTGGTACATAAGTCGAGGATTGGATTTAAGTCATCGATGAATGCCGACAGAAGTGATGTTATAATATAGAGATGAGCCGCAAATATAGCTATTATTATGGCTAAAAATATTAGCGTTAATAACCAAAATATTGACCATAATATCTGTGTTACTGTTCCGGGTGACATTTAAGGACTTTGATTTATGTAACTTAACTTTTAATTAAAAATTTTTCTACAGTATATTAAATACAGTATAAAATTGGGCGTTTTATAAACTATGTATAAATATAGTATACTTAATAATCTAATGTTACGCTAATCAATAATCTAAAATTTTTTATGTGTACAGTAGTTTTAAAGTGGGTTAAATTTCAGTGATATCATTGTATTATTTAGAATCAGATAAACATTATTTTTTATTATTTCATAAAACATTAGAAATAAATACTTGTATTGAAAAAATTGATAGACTTTCAAACATAAGGATTTCTCCTAAAAACTACTCCTTATAAGTGTATTGTATTTCTCGTATGACTTATGTTTTTTAGTCAAACTTTGTTTCTTTTTATTTAATTTTATGCTTCAATTATTTGGTTTATTTTTTTGCAGTCATTTTATTTTCCAATTGATTTACTCTTATGATAACAAAAATAAATTTCTTTCTTTTTATAGTTTATATCGAATGTTAAGAAAATTTTATTTATGGAAAGCAATACAAAAACAACTTTTATATCATGTTTTCAAATTGAAACTTTCTATTCATTTACAGACAAAACAAAGTAATACTATTATTATTACTAAAATTGTAATCAATTGTCAGAAAATTCAAACTGAAAATCATTATTTAAATTTGAATGACTTTTATAAAACTGATCCAAAAGTGACTTTAGGGAGACTTCCTCTAAGGTCTCAATTTTACCAGTTTTGTGGTCAAAAAGGTTACGCTTTTCTCGTTTAGCATTAACATTTGATCCAAACTTAAAATTATCTTTAAATAAATCACTTTTCAGTAACTCTTCCAACAATTGATTGGTTTTCTCAGTGTTTGGCAATTGCTTCAAGAAGTCATTGATTTGTTTCTGAAACTCCAGACCCTTGTCGCTACTGGATGTGAAAAAACTTAATGGAAATTCATTCGCCGATTCCTGTATTTGTCTCAAAACATTTTGCAACCGCTCATTAGTTTTGTCTAAAAATATAAAATCAATAATTTGTTAATCATTCAAATAATTTCTAATTAAAAACACTAGACCTGAGAGTCCATTGTCTGCAATCTCATTGATGTGATGATCAATTGATAGGTACTTCTGACCACTGGATCCAGTGATTGCACGTGAGATGAGTTGAAAGAATTGAAATATTTGAACGAATGCTTTCAAAAACATAACAATCAAATTGCGAAAGAAGTCCAGAATTGGTAGTCCAGTACTACTACCACTACCACTACTTCCAGAACTTCCAGAATCTCCAATGTTTTTATTGGCATTGGGTGCGTGGGGTATTAATGAACCCAGTATACCTTCAAATGGATTAGCATTTCCAGCTGGATTAAATGGATTAGCATTTCCAGCTGGATTAAACGGATTGGTGCCAAAATTACTGGAGTTCATCATCTCATCCAATATAGAAATGGGCAGAAATGGAGCTCTTTGGTGAATATTTGTCTCATCATTTGCATCAATACAGATCAGTATTAAAGGCAACAAAATCAGACAAATTATTATATAATTTTTCATCTTGTGATCACTGTTTGGCAATATTTTATATAATTATGAGAAGTGTTTTGCAGAATAATGTAAAATTTATTTTTTTATATACATTAATAGAGTTAATGACTGCATGAAAACAAAATAAAATTAATATTCAATACCAGTATTTTCGATCACAAACTAAATAATAAAAATAAAATAAAAATATATTGAATTAATTTTGTTCCTAATATTTTGTATATAATTTATTTCTAACGTAAAATTGTTTTTATGTAAAATCCTACAGCAAACTTAAGTAGCATGTTAAAAATTAATTTCTGTATAGTAATATTTTATACAAATTATTACCTAACATATAACAAAGACATACAAAATGAGTATAAATATATACATGAATACAATAATAATTTGGGCGCAAAACTAATTCTCGTCGTAATAGTCATCGTCGTGATGGTAATGGTGGTGATGGTGGTGGTGGTCATCCACGTAAGGGCCGCCCTCATCAGCCTGTGCTGACGGCTCTTCGTACATCAACTGTTGACGGTTTCTCTCCAGACTTTTTGCCAAAACATTGTTTGTTTTCATTAGAAATTATTTTAATTTTCAATTTATCTTAAACTAGTTATGTTTGTTTGTAATATATTTCATACTTACGGCAAAAACAACATTTGTGGTTTCTGTTGGGGATATCTCGGGTCCCTGAAAAGCACCGGGACCATGTTATTGTTCGGCCCGGCGTATGGAGCTCTATTACTGTTTAGCATATATGGATAACAATTACAACAATTTACTAATATTAATACACATATGAGTGAAACAAACACTAGACTTCTTAATAAAGACATTATTTAGCATTTATTTCTAGTGTGAAACTTATAGCTTCCAGCTATTGATTACTTTTTAAATAATAGCCAACAAACTCGTGCCAAGTCTGCAGTGAACTGAAAGTAAACTCGACTAAAATGAAAGTTAAATTATATTTAGAACTGTTTTTTATTAAAAATTAAAAGTTTTTATATAAATATTGTATATATTCTTAGAAATTTAGAAATTACATTGCGTTTGAAATAAAAAATTAAGGTATTGTATAGACCTATGGTTGGTAAATTTTACAATAAAATAGTTCATTGTTATAAATCATTGATTTTGTGTCAAAATAAATTAATCTTCACAAAATCTCTCTCTCTCTCTCTCTCTCTCTCACTCACTCACTCACTCTCAAAATTATGTTTTATGGGAAGTATATCTTTTATGACAACTTATAACTAAAATAATATTTTTTGGTTTCACCATTTTATATGTATTTATAGAAAATAGGAAATTATAATTATATGAAATTAATAATTTGATAAATAAGTACAAAGTCTACAATAATATGCTACAAATATATTGTACAACAATATTAGTTCTGTATATTATAGATTATAGCACTGATAAAATTGTCACAAAATTAAAAGTACAATTAAATAAACAACAGATATATTACAAGTATTGATGATACTATTGATAAATTGCGTAAATACTGATGAGTTCACATAAACTCGTTTTATTATTCACATCAAGTTAATTAACTAGTAAAAATAATAAAATTAAATGGTGTATAAATATTGCTCATTCACTGATTCATTAATTAAACAATGTAATATTATAAGAATTATGTTGAATAAATTAAAAGCATGTGGGACATTAATTAGGATCGTAATTAATAAAAGTGTAGTTGAGTTTTAAAATAAGATTTTAAATTTTAATTTTAGCACCAATGTTAATTGTATTTGTATGGGTTAAGTAAGATATTAAAACTAAAATTTGACTTGTAACTCGCAATTAAATTTCAAGTAAAAGTTTTATTTAATACAAATAAAAACAGAAACAATTATTTATATATTTTCATAATAAAATTTTAAATACATTGAAATGAGCTTACTGAATGTTGTCTAATAAATTCAAAACAAACGAGTCCATTCTAGTACTGTATTAATAATCTATGTTTAGCTTTTTGATTACATTTACATGAATTTTTTTAATGTTTTTAGTTAGACATTAATGCAATCACTTGATCACTAAACCAAAATAACTTGCTTTGAGTTTCAGTAAAACCTTGAATTTGCTCACAATTATACCAAACATTTAATTTCTATTTTAATGTTATTATTATTAAACATAGAATTGTAATAGAAATTACTTCTAGTTTATTATTGTTTATAAATGTGTATTTGCTTAAATCAAACCACTAATCTGTAATATAATTTTATTTAAAAATCCTAGTAACTTCAAAGTATGTTATGTAATATATTTATTTATCTGATTTTTGAATAACTTTTATATTAGTCAAATTAATTTATTTACATTATTTAATTTAAATAAACCTAAATTTGTCAAATGAGAGCTATTCATCTTATCATTCAAATGAAATATAATATATTTTGTGAAATTATTACAAATATTAAGTTTAATCAAGATATCAAACAATAAATGTTCAGTCAACAAAGTTTTAAAAAGTCTATTTCATTTGATTGAATTAAATTAAAAGTTAAATTACAACTCCCATATAAATATTAATTATATACTTTATTATATTATGATTAATTAAATTGTGTTAATATTAACTTGAATTTGTTTAATTAAGGCTGATTTTAAATATAAAACTACAGCTAAATGTTATTATAAATTGATAAAACTGATTATGCGTATATTGTGAAATTTAATTAATCTAAATTTTGTTAAATTTAAAAAAAGTTTTTTAGATAATGTTTGTGTAAAAATGGTTAATTGGCGCGAAATTTGGACATTTATTAAGAGCCTTAGAGTAGAGCCCTATCTATTCATTCATATGTTTGCCGGTTCTGTGGCTACAGTGACCACTGGTTTACTACTTCAGGACAAGATATGTGTTTTATAGATACTTGTTGGGCTGCTAAAAACGTACTTAAAATTAAGTTAGTTAGGTAGCCTGCTAGGCATGTTTATATTTCTGTTTCACAATCGCAACAGGTGTGTTAAACCAAAGATATACATTAGTAATAAATGACACATAAATTAATAATTCACTTAATTTGTATAATTACTACAAAATGTTATCTGAATATATAGTACACTGTTGGGAGCGATTCCATCAGTGATTTGGTCCCTATTTATCGGTGCATTTACTGACAAATTCCTGAACGGACGCAAAATTGTAATGTGTTTATCGAGTCTGTCAGCGATTCTCACATCACTTATACACATATTAAATGCATATTATTTCTATTTAAGTAAGGTATTATACAGTTAATTATAATTGTTAATAGGCTAAAATTTATACAAATTTATGTGTGTTACAAATATGCAAATACCTTAAAATTATCACCAAATTTGTAACATTAGGTCCATATTATCTACTCTTGACTTCATTGCCGGCTCTGTTCACTGGCGGTGGCTTTGGCTCAATAATGGCAGTCTATGTAAAACATCAATTAATTTTTCTGATAAATGTTAGTTTTGTTGATTTATTAAATATTATTTCAAATATTATTAGTCTTACGCTTCAGTTCATACAAGTGAAAAGTTTCGTTCAATACGTTTTGCGATCATTGAATTCAGCTTTTTCTTAGGTATTCACCAGAAATATTAAAAATAATTATATAATTTTATACTGATATTAATTATGTAGGCATTCCTTTGGGAACATACGTTGGTGGACAGGTATTACAAAATACACCGGACAGTAGTGGCGGACAATTACACAATTATATTACAGTCATAGCAATAAGTCTTTCGCTTCAAATTATTTCCATAATATTGTTAATGGTTTTAATTAACGAAAAGCCAAACAGTGGTGATGAGAGACAAATACTGGTAGACAATGAAGTACTCGACGCCAATTCCAACAAAAGAACCACATCTGAAGTGGTTATACAACCAGAATCATCACC